GCCACGTAGGCACCACTGTGGGTCATTAGCACAAACTTACTGGAAACAAGCTCCACAGCTTAATCCATTCGTAAACAAAGCTGTGCTTAATGCTGCTGTGTTTGTCCCATAACCCTGGCTGTACAGATTTCCATACCCACACGCCCCTCCTGTATATATATATACGTACAATACATTTAATTAATTCATTAACATAATAAAAATCCAATCTTTTTTTTTTTTTTTTTTGTCAAATTAAAAAAATAAATAAATAAATAAATACCCATTGTTCCAGAAGCATCGCCTCCTCCATAGAAGGTGGCATGAGCATTGATCCAGCCCCCATAATACCCGTATGCAGATTCAGCCAATGAGAAAATTCCCACTAATAAAAGTGCCAAATTATTCATTAATCTTTTTTCTTTTTCCTGCAAAAAAAGAAAATGAAAAAAAATATTGATCAAGAAAAACTATGAATAATGTGTATTAAAGAAATAGTAGAGAGTGACGAAGAAATTCAGGACGGGGATTTTTTTACCGGAAAATCGTGTTTCGGAGGAGGAGTTGTGAGGGAGTGGCTAAAGTGTTTGATGTGAATAAATAGAGTTGGAGAAAAATAAATTATATTGTAGGGCAATGAATTTAAGGGGGGCATGTGATTAAGTTTTCATCTGTTGCATGGGACCATATATATACACACACACACACACACACACATTTCTGCTATGGAAATTTGATTCTCCAATGAAAGCGTGAAGATGGCGCATGAGTGAAACGCGACTCTTTGATGATTTGCTCGAAAAGGAAACCGACATTTCTTTCGTTAGCATTATTATTAAGTTGCAATTATATTGAGAAAGATAAATAATAAAAACATATATCAAATTAATATACTGAAATATGAAAAAAAAAAAGAAAAAAAGAAAAAAAGAAAAAAAAAAGTCGGTAGCTGAAATCATAAATCTGCAGAAAGTCAGGATTCAAAATGCAGATAATCAATAAATAATAGTAGTAATTTATTGTCCTTAATTAAACTACTTAATTTTCTTGATGGACGTTGGTCATGATATTTCTTTTAATTTCCAGCAACTTGTTTTTTTTAATTTAAAAAAAACATGGGATAATAAGGTTGTAATTAACCCATCTTCTAAAAACAAAATTGCTAGTTGTCACATGGATATGGGGTCCTAATCAGACACGAGCAGTGGTGTTATTTTATTTTATTTATTTTTTAATGCATGGCCGGACTATGATTTGATTAGGTGAAATATTTAGGTAAAATTGTTTAGGATATTTTCTGTATGTATGCATTTAAGGCAATGCTGGTTTGAGATTGCAGAGAAGGCGACGTAAAGCAAAATAGCACATGATAATTAGTTTCTCTTTTGTCTTAATTTTAAGCTTAATAATTAGACTTTTATCACTAAATTTTAGGACGGACACGATTTATCGTCGCCACTTGATTGCATATCGATCGTCAAAAGCTTGTTTGAACTCGGTTCATTAATATAACGAACAAGACTTGAACGGTTTTTTTTTCTTCCCGTTAAGCAACTAAATGAGGAAAAAAATAATAAAATATTTACAAATAATCCAGTTACTCGAATTCGATTGAAACTCATTCCAACCCGACTGATTCTTACCAACGGGCTCAAACACAATTTTTCCTTTTTAAATTTGATTAAAAAGTTGAACAATCATAAGTTCGTCTCGACTCGTTTACACACTTCTAACACCATATGATTTTTCACTCCAAAAATAACCCCTTAATTTTCTGATTTTTTTTTTAATTTCATCTTTCAAGTGTTTAAATAAATATATTTTAATATTTTATTTGAAATTCAATTAATGTACTGCAGAGTGTCACACAACTGGAGATAAAACTAGTGTTTATGAAGTCTTATCTTTTTCTTTTACTCCATATGGATTTGGTTCGGACACCAACCAGCATTCACAGACACATCTTGTTGAAAAGTGTTGGCCATAAATGTAAGTTGTGAAATACTTTAAATTGCAATATGTACTACTGGAGAAAAAAATAAAAATAATTAAATTGCAATATGGACCATAAAAATTTAAAGATCACAACCACCAAGTGGAGACAAATTAAGATATGTTTTTAACATTTGATAGATTTTGGTGTCCGAACCCCAACTGACACCTCATCATATTCCACTTGAAATGCCACAGAAATATTTGGTAAGGGGGTTAATAATTAATTTTAACCAAGTCAATGAGGTGTTTGACTCAACTTGACGTGCCGCAGAAATTTTAACCGTTGATCTACACACGCTAATTTGAAAGAATAACTAAATCCAGCTTTCTATTATTACTCCGTCCACATATGCAAAGATGTGAAAGCATCCGTCAATCAAAATCGAATGACCGACTTAACAGTTTCGAGCAACAATTTTGCTTACTAATTTCAACGGAATTAATTTTTAAAAAACAATTATAAATTGGATGTATTTTCGGATCAATTGAAATTCATGCAACAACTAAATCAAACACCGACACAATTTCAGATTCGATAAAATTAAGAACGAGATTCGGCAAAAATATCCTGATTTAACAAACATTTAGTAGAGTGTCGAATTGAAAAGCGAAAAGGGGCCCCGACTAAGAAAAGCAGAGATGAAATGCTACATGTTCTTGAATTGATGGAGGAAGGAATTCATGAACATTGCAACGCGCAAATGTGGGGCTTAACATTCTGCGTATTACCACAAACTGAAGCACCCGCACCCACAAACACAACCACACAATGCAATAATATTTTGGTTCCCATAGGTGGACCAACCTATTCCATGAATTTTAACTGCAGGCCCTCTCTCCTACATCCTTATTTTTCGAGAAAAAAAAGTTTATATCGCATATGATAGATTTTAGAAAAATACATCAGGGTTGACTTTTTTCTTCTTTTTTTTTTCTCGAGGGATAAGATTAACCAAATTACAGCTGAAACTGGGCAAATCGAGATCTATAATTCAAGAAAACAAAAACATACGCTGAATCCAACACTCGAAAGAGGCATTGTGTATCAATTAAAAGTAGGTTTACAGGTAAAAAAAAGAAAAGGTGCAAAACTATGAACCATAATAAGGGGGTTGACTAGGAAACGAAACCCCACCTGGAAATACATTTGGCTGATGTAAGGGGCGAGCACCTCCCATCTGCGGATTTCCAGGGGCGGACATATACGCTTGGCCGGAAAATGCGCCAGCTGGAGCTCGGTCCCACGACGTGACAGGTGTCACTGGAGCTTGACCCTGTGCTGCACTGCTAGAGGCATAGCCAACCCCTGGTACTCCGCTAGTTTGCTGCATCGGAAGTGGTACTTGGATAGTGTAATCTCTGCTTTTGTCAGTGTAAGCCTATAATCGAACAGACATATAACTCAATTAGTTCTTCGAAGAAATCGGCATTAATCGACATGTTAAAAGTGTGTTAAGAAACCTACGCCAAGGGATCAAGAAGTCCTTTTTTCTTATCAAAAACGTTAATTTGGTTGCAAACAAGCCCTTTGATTTTTTCCTCAATATTGATCTCACAAATCTCTAAATTGAAAGCATATTATTTTATACCTTTACATTGAGATCAGTATGACGAGAGTATGATAGATGAAGCTTACAATAGCCACCTTCATATATGCAATGACCCTCTAAAGCATCTTTGGCAGCAGCTGCAGTTGCGATTTCTGGGAATAAAACAATTCATAAAAATCGGTTGTACAGGTAACCATTCTGAAAGTGGAGGATTGCAGATATTATAATGAACTCACCAGGATACTGGATTAGTGCCTGAGTTCCACCATTCTTTTCAAATATTGCAATCTTTTGAACAGTTCCAAACGAAGAGAATACCTGATCAAAGCAGCACATATTGCATATTGTTATTCTCCTATAATGCATACGAAAGTGAAGAATACGCACGTTAGTTATTACCGTGTGAAGAACATCCACTGTGATGGCATATTGCATGTTCTCAATAGAAGCAAGCAGCACATTGCTCTCGAATTCCTTTTTCTTCCCATCAGGACCTACAGCAGGCTGTATATAAAAAGGATATTATTAATGTTTGGCCAAAACTGAAAAATAGCAAATATTTATAATTCAGAAATTCACCTGGAGAAAACCTTCCATTGCGGTGGGATTAACAGGAAGATAAGGATTTGTATAATCCCTGCATGATTAAGCATGGATAAACTATTTGTCAGAAGAATGTTAAACGGGTACATTTCGAGAATCTATAATAAGATGGACCGAATCAAATCAAAAGCATTCACCGAGGCACCACTACAAAGGGTAAAGGCAACCGCAAAATATTTAAGTTCCATAAAAAGTGAAAGACACGTTAATTTTTAGGGCACACGCTCAATTTTCTTTTCTGTTGACTAGTCAGAAAAATTTCCCAAGACCGGGAAAGGAATAAGCCTAAAACAAGTGAGGTATCTCTAGGTCAAATGAATCGATTAAATTTGGAACATAGTTCTAAAGAAGTCCACCTTCAACAATATTATACAGCTTCAAAGTGGTCAATGCAACTGCTCTATCATAAATTCTATAGAAAACTCCCTGCTCAATATGAAAATATTGTTTGCTAGATTTTCCTAAAATTAAGGACATGCATGCAATCGAGTATTCTCAATATCAGTTAAAGAACATTAAGACATACACAGAAAGAAGTTCCTTTCCGAGAGACAACTGATGATGCAGTTATTAGTAAAGGAATAGAAAACAGCTCATGAAAATCAATCAGGAATAGCACAGGAAAGTTCAAATTCGAGAATGACTGCATTAAACTAAGATTATAGGACATAAATGCATAATTTCTCATTTATAGCATTCAAAACAAACATCAAGAAAAAAAGAAAAGACAACATTAAGATCGAGAATATTACTACGAGGCCATGAAAATACACATCTGTGTTATAGCAGGCTGAGCTTCACTAAACCCTAGATGACAAAAACCATCAATTAGAGAAATCACATATTTGCCAAAAAGTTTTGTAGGAAAACAAGAACTACTTGATGAAAATATCCAACAATAAGACGCACAAAGAAAAATGTTCAAATACATCAATAAGTTAAGTGAAGTGTTACCTGCTCCGATGGGACTGAAACTTAATATTCAAATCAGTGTGGGCAGAGTACGAAATGCGTAAATGACACTCGTTTAGATGACTTGGAAGAAGGTATCTGAAATTTAAACAGTGAATCAAAAAATTCACCAAATTAAGAACTCCACTTAACCAAATAACATTGGATGTGCACACCGAGTAGGCCACAGAGAATCACGTCAGATTATATTCAAGCCAATGTCCTCTAAATAGTTCTAAACAATACGTACCTGGGTATACTTCTACCATCTAATGAATCCCTTGCTGTAGATGCAGTCTGAACATCACTATACTGAATTAAAGCCTGTCAAGATACACAAGTATCAACAAACGCAGCTAAAAATTACGTTTGCTGAGAGAAAAAAATTACTAAAATCTTGATCAAAACTTGACCTGAAAACCGGCAGCCTTTTCAAACGTAGCAATCTTGTGCACAAAACCGAAAGCTGAGAAGACCTATACATAAACTCCAATTTGAGCATATTACAGAGCAATGAAACTAAAAAACAAAAAAAGAAGGAAGCAATACAAAAAATTTCAATGAACATGAAACGAGAAAGGGAATAGCTACAAGGTAAAAGTGCAGGAGAACACCTGTCAACTGCGAGAAGATAGACCTTATAAAGCAGTCACATGACAATATATCCAGACTGTCTCCAACAAAAGACTCTAAAAAAGGACCATCTGTGATTTAATTTTGTCCCATCAAATTGACAGTATATAGAGAAGCGCTACTTTTTAGGAAAATAAAAACTAACTGGCATCAACATTTAAACTTTCTCAGGCATAGGCTATGACCAGAAGTTCAGTGCCTTTGCACAAGCATGGAACACCAAACATTCTAGATTAAAACACAGCAAACTTGCACCACATAATAATAGATAAATAATAGTTTTCATCAGGTGTGACCGAGAAAATAAAGCTGGGAAAATCGTTCGGATAAAAGACATGTTGGTTATGTAAACAAATACAAAATAACATGGAACTCAATGCTAAGATTAGCTCCGCATAAAGAGAAAAAAGCATTACCAGGTGAATGACATCTATGCTGACATCACCAGCTTCAACACCCTCTATGGTCACAAGCAAAACATTTCCTGGAACATCTCCGGGACTTTTGTTGTTAACTATTTCATGCCTGTTTGAGTATTGTATGTAAACAGTTTTGCCACGAATTTGAGCGGGCTCCGAAGACGAAGCATAATAGCTAACCATATTAATTGCCTGGCTAAGATCCACCTGAGAGATAAATTGAAATATTCATTAACGTAATGCATCGAGTCGATACACAAACCTCAAACCAGCATAATACGAAACTATTGCATCCTAAAATATGGGCCTCAGACTCCAGAAGCTGAAATTATTGCAGGCTAAAACAACCATAACAAATTGTTATGGATAGGTGATAAATCATAAATCGACGTCAATTCAACAGCAACTCAGTGCGACAAAAAACCAATATAAAATGAGTTGTTGCAAAATCACACTAAATTTATTAGAAATATCTCTCGTATGTAATTACCAAAACATCACAAATACAACATGAAAGAAGTAGACAGAGAGAGAACATACAAATTCGACAAATGCTTGATTCCGATTGGTCCCGACGTCGCACTTGGTGTTGACGATCTTGCCGAAGGGTTTGCATAGTTCAACGAGCTCCTCTTCGTTGCACTCCCATGGAAGATTCCGCAGGTGGAGCACCTTCGACGGTGTCTGTGTACATCGGAACTGTGATTGACCCGAACCCGACATCGTATTGAGTTTCTCCTTCCGGATTGGGGTTTAATCAAAATTCTAGGGCTTCGGTAATTGGGGATTATGGATTATCGGTGTTGCTAGTTCATAAAGTCATCAAATACTGTTATCTATATTATATATAAAACTAAGATACACAATAAAAGTTATTCACTTGAGGAGATTGAGTCCACATTATTTTAGAAATTTCAAAATAACCCCACTTACCATATTCACCCATATTATTAATGAATTAATTTCACATTATTGGTTTTTAAATTTTATCTCTCCTACATGTCAAAATGGTGTCTTTTTATTGGTTATTGAGTTTCCTTTTTTAATCCATTGCTTCATATTAAAAACGTAAATATATAAATGAACATTCCACTTGATTTGGGTTAATTAAATTTTATGCTCAATATTATATTAATTGCCAAAAAGCCCCAATTATCATAATCATACATATTATTAATTAATTGATTTCACTTTATTGGTTTTCAAATTTCATCTCTCCTACGTGTTAAAATAGAGTCTTTTTTATTGGTTAATGAGTTTCTTTTTTTTTCTAAACAATATTTTGATTAAAAAACGTAGAACTTAAATGCAATTTTTTTTAATTTCACAATTGAGTAAATTATAAAACTAAGATACACAATCAAAGTTTTCTAATTGAGGACATTGAGTCCACATTGTATCATAATTTTCAAAATAACCCCAACTTCCATAAACAATCACCTAATTATCTATTTATTAAAACAAAAAACGTGATTACCTAATTTGAATTGCACACATGGACAATTTGTGTATTTTAATTGGTTGATTTTTACAATTTGGCAAACTATCCAAATATACAAAAAAATAATAAATTCAAATTTCATACGTGGACAAATTATGCATTTTCATTGGATGATTGTTTTCAACTTTTAATTTTAATTGCACACATGGACAATTCGTGCATTTAATTGGTTGATTACATATTTATATTTAATTTATTACATCTTATTCGCATATCTAATATTATGTTATCTAAATAAATATTTTAATTTTTAATTTTTTTTAATAGTTATTTTGCACATCATTATCTTATGTAAAATATTTACCAACCTATTAACTATATATTAATATAGATAAATTAAAATATTATTTCTTAATAAATATTTTAATTTTTAATCTATTTTTAATAGTTATTTTGCACATCATTATCTTATGTAAAATATTTACCAACCTATTAACTATATATTAATATAGATAAATTAAAATAATATTTAATAATTCGAACATGGTAATGAAATCATCTATTAAGATAACCGTAAGATCAATTTGGAAATGATTGATTTGATTGAATATAAATATGACAGGTAATTATAAATAAGGAGGTAAATATGCAATTATAGGGGTAATTAGAAATTTCATAAAATTTGAATTTATTAGCTAATTAGTTTTCAAATTTGAATATATTGAATATTGACCAATTATACCTGTTGTTACACATCATAGTTATTATGTTTGAATATTGATTAATTAATTTCTAAAAGAGTATTAATTCTACATTAATTACTTTATTTATTTCCTTTATTACATTACTGAACCACCTATAAATTCACCATTCAACACATTCACCTTCTTCATCTTTCTTACACAACTTTTTTTTTTCTTTTGCAATTTAATGTAATTCGAATTATTCGATTCAATTTCGTATTGATTATTGACTAATCGTTTCGTAATCTTTTGTCGTAATTCTTTCGATTTATCGATTATTGTTTCATTCATTATTTTTAGTGTTTCGGAGATATGCCGAAGATCATGTTTAAAAAATAATTACATTGACATCACATACCTACAATTGTTGAAACATCTTAGCCTTTTTATACTATATATATGTTTAAGTTATTGATTTATTTTGTATTTGATTTCTTGATTCAATTGTATTTGCAGCATTTGAGTAATTCTTTCATTGAAGCTACGGGATTGTATCAACCTTTGCTATGAGTGTAGAACTCATGTTCAAGTTGTTATATATGTTCGCGAAAAATACACGGGGAAATAATGTTTCAATTGACCGAGAGTTGGAGAGATTTTTACATGGTGTTCATTCTTCGGATGACTTTAATACCATCTACCGGACTGCCAATTAAATTTCAGAGAAGACAGTTTCCGTTGATTGTTTCTTTTGCACTTTTGCAATGACGATCAATAAAAGCCAAGGTCAAACTCTTTCGCATGTTGGTTTGTATCTTCCTAAGCATGTCTTCAGCCATGATCAACTATATGTTGCATTGTCCAGAGTTACGAGCAGATGTGGCATTAAGATATTCATCAACTTGGATTCGAGTGAACTCACCAATGTTAATAGAAATGTCGTGTACAAGGAAGTATTTCATCGAATTTGGAGGGTAGAGAATATTTTCATATTTACCAATTATTATCGAATTTGAAGGTAAAGAATATTTTCAAATTTACCAATTATTCATGTAACATGTCTTTTTTTTAACAACTTATTCTTTGGCAGGTGTTTCTTCTCTATATAATTTCCCCCGTGCGATGTTATTTTCAATCATGTCCCTAGGATGCTCAGTGCAAATTTTATTATCTTTAAGATTTATTTTTGACGATATACTAATATTTTAATATTATTATTATGATGTAACTATGAAGAACATGATGCTTCAATATTGTTGGTCGCTTTTTGTATTTAAATTCAATGAGCGTAATAATTTATATATGCGTAAATTTATTTTTCAGACATGTATTTCCAGTTGAAAATATGCCCCCCGTGCATCGCACGGGTGAATACTAGTTTAGGTATAAGAAAAGAATCCCCGGACAAGTTTGAAAGTGCGATAATATGTTCGAATGAGGTAGGTGTGAGATATGTGTATGATGAGTTCTAACTATAATTGGTAATAATTATTAAAATTAAAATTAATTCGCGAATAATTCTACATTGTTGCTATATTGCTATATATTAAAGAAAGAAACGTTAGGCAACCCTAAAAAATCCAATGATATTTCTGTAATTATTTATTTGTAATATTTTTTCTCTATTAATTTTTAGCAATAATTTTTAATAATTATCAAAATTAAAACTAACCCGTGAAGAATCTTACCTTATTGCTACTTATGTAATTATTTATTTTTAATATTTTTCTATACTAATTTTTTAACTATAATTTTCAAACAATTATTAATCTCCTGAAATGGATAACCCTAAAAAAACCCAATGGTATTTCTATAATTATTTATTTTTAATATTTTTTCTCTATTAATTTTTAACTATAATTTTTAATAATTATCAAAATTAAAACTAACCCGCGAAGAATCCTACCTTATTGCTACTTATTTAATTATTTATTTTTAATATTTTTCTGTACTAATTTTTTAACTATAATTTTCAATAATTATTAATCTCCTATTTTTCATCAATATATCTCAAATATTAAGAGATCAAGTTGGAAATTCGAGTTGTTAAATTTTAGTCTATTTATTTGGATTACAAATCTTAATATGTAAGATTTAAAAAAACTAATGTTATATAAAATATGAATAATACTACAATTGGGTGGGTCCCTTCACAACAATCGGATGAGTGGAGGGCTGAAGGTTCAATGTTCTCAATCGGGCCCTAGTTACTTAGAAAATGAAACTAAAATGACGTCGGAGTTAACATTCCGATGATCAAGTCAGTAGGAATCAATATGCATTTTGACTGTGAATTTATATATTTTTTAGGAAGAATAGATCAGCTTCTATATATGAAAAACATTACCTTCCATATGAAAGGGTGTGTTCCTATTTTTAACATTTCACCCCAACCCTAAAAGCTACCCAAAAGCGGCGCGAACACGTGCGTCGCTTCCATCATCATCCTTACTAACTTTTTGTGCGTCTACCGACAGTCAAGGCCATCATTCTTAGCTGATCAACCATTCGCACAATGTCCATGCTCTAGGAAGAAGCATTTTTCAAGGTATTTGTACTTTTTTCCGCTTATCCGATCCGCTGTCGCCGGTCATTCGAGCATTTAATGCTGGTGTTCGTGCATTTGATGCTCATATCTTGATATTAAATGCACCGGTCAGGGCCATTGCGGCACCCCTCCAAGCGCCGCATGCTCCACTCGACTCTTGGTGATATGCTTTCCCCACTTGTACGTCGCGACGAGGAAGTAATTTTTAAACGAGTTGACTTCCTTGGCCTTGGGCCGCACCTACTGACGGTGTTTGGTGGATTGGATTTTCCAGTAAATGGGCCTTGCACAAAAGTCATCTACTCGTTATAATCAAATAAACTAAAAGCCCAAGCCCAAAAGCTTACCAAATTGGACAAAATTTTCCTTCTTTCTTGTTATTTAATTAAAAAAAAAAACGAAAAATCAGAATACACGTGGAATTGCTATTTAGGCAATATATAACAAACATATAAACTGCAGAATAAATTGAAGATAACTATATATTATTGCGTCAAAACCCTAGATATTATATTAGTACCATTGCTTTCCTCATTCAGATCCTTCTGTCACCTCTCTGCAAAACTCTCTCTCTCTCTCTAGAATTCAACTCTCCAAGATTTCGTTAAGGTAAGTCCTTATTCATCCGTCATCCCTCTTTACCATGTTGTCGATTTATTTCTCTTAATTCATTCATATATTTCGGATTTGAAATATAAAACCATGTTTAGATTTGTGGATCTGATTTTTTCCACCCGTGAATTGAATTGCTGTTAGAATTGTGCGATGTGTGGATATAGTTCTGACGTCTATTAAATTCGATACTCGATATCTTGTGTGTGTGTTTCAATTGAATGAACGTAATTGTATTTGAAGCTATTGATTGCAGCCTGCGTTTCATTCTGGAACTTTTATTTGTGATTGATTCTATGTTTTGAATTGTGTTTTAATGGGGCAAGGATATATAAAACGGTTTATTTGAGCTAAACTTAGCTTATTGATTGAGTAATTACCATTAAAGTTGACACGAGTTGGTGGCGGTGTATGTTATCTGATTTCGTATATCTAGTTTGGACTTACGTACGTGTATTCATTAATCTGTGGTTGCCATTCATAGCTTCTTAAGCAGACGTGTTGATTTCGACTGCTACCATTACACAAGGTGATTGTGTGAATTTAATCGACTCAAAAAGAAATTATTCCTCCTGTATTTAAAGACATGAATGCCATTATGAACCCTCGTAAAATACCGACATGAAATTCTTAGAATCTGCTAATGCTGTTTCTGATTCTAATTGATATATGTGGTTCCTTAGAATTCTTCGTCTTTTACAGATTAGTTGAGTTTATTATTTCGAAATGTCTGGTCATCGGAGTAGCCATGGGAAACGGTCTCACTCTGACTATTCTGATAGTGGGGGAAATAAAAGAAGAAACTCTGGAGGCGATAAAGATCAATTCTCTATTGGGTCTGATGATACAGTGTACCGCTACTTGTGCCCAGGAAAGAAGATTGGAAGTATTATCGGAAGGGGAGGGGAGATAGTCAAGCAACTGAGAGTAGACACAAAATCGAAGATCAGAATCGGTGAATCTGTGCCGGGATGTGAAGAACGTGTTGTCACTATTTACAGTGCTAGTGAAGAAACAAACGATTTTGAAAGTTCCGATGGGCGTATTTGTCCTGCCCAAGATGCCCTTTTCAAGGTGCATGATAGAATTGTTGCTGATGACACTGCAGTAGAAGACGACTTAGAAGAAGTCCACCAAGTTACTGTTCGACTTCTAGTACCATCTGATCAGATTGGGTGGTGTATCATTGGAAAGGGTGGGCAGATAGTTCAGAACATTCGCGGTGAAACTGGTGCGCAGGTTCGCATTGTAAAGGATGATCATTTGCCGACGTGTGCATTGAGTTCAGATGAACTTGTACAGGTATAATACCTTGCTTACTTATGTTAGAAAAAATATATACCCACAGTCAATAAAATCTAGATTTCGAAGCTGCATGAATAACTATCATAAATATTATTGATGAGTGCTCCCCCAAGGGTGTATTTTCTATTTTGGATGTGGAGTTGACCTATACTGTAAGCATCTGGTATTGATGATTATTTCTTGGTTACACTTGTCAGATATCAGGCGATGCTTCCATGGTGAGGAAAGCTCTTTATCAAATTGCATCCCGACTTCATGATAATCCATCCCGATCCCAGCATCTGCTATCTTCTTCTGTTCCTACTGCATACTCTTCTGGTAGTTCAGTTATGGGGACAACTGGCGGCGCTCCAATGATGGTAGTGGGTCCGTATGGGGGATTTAAGGGTGAGAGTGCGGATTGGTCTAGGCCTATGTACCCTGCCCCAAGGAATGAAGTATCATCAAGAGAATTCTCACTTCGTTTGGTTTGCCCAACTGCCAGTATTGGTGGTGTCATTGGAAAGGGTGGCACGATAATCAATCAAATAAGGCAAGATTCTGGGGCAGTTATTAAAGTTGATAGCTCAGTCTCTGCAGGAGATGATTGTGTGATATCTATCTCTGCAAAAGAGGTAATTTTGTTGTGTAAAATACTAGATTAATATTTTTGACTGGATGATAGATTATTGTCATTATATAATTGGAAAATCCACTGTATTGGTAATCAGATTTTCGAAGATACCTTTTCTCCGGCAATCGATGCAGCTCTGCGCTTGCAGCCAAGGTGCAGTGATAAGGTTGAAAGAGACTCTGGTCTTGTTTCCTTTACCACCCGATTACTTGTTCCTACTTCTAGAATTGGGTGTCTTATTGGGAAAGGGGGTTCCATAATATCAGACATGAGGAGAGTCACCAAGGCCAATATCCGAATACTGTCCAAAGAAAACCTGCCTAAAGTTGCCTCTGATGACGACGAGATGGTGCAGGTAAAATGATAGATATACTTTTTGCTGTCTAATAATGTGTTATTTTTTCTAAAGTTTGAATGTTGAGCCATAAATGGCGGGTCTAGTACTCTCCTTCGACATGTGGATGCATTATTTTTAATTTTTTGTTGATTATATTAAGAGTTTCAGGTGGGATTTAATTCAAGTGCGTTCTTTTTAAATTTCAACCCTCGTCATTGTCTAGATATGAGGAGTTGAGGAAGAGGAAAAAGTTAGATAGATTTATAATTTAATGTTTATGGTATATATCCCCCCTCTCGTGCAAGAAATGGACACTAGAGTCATATCTACCTGCAAGGACTGGGGAATAATGCCCCATTTAAGTCGAAGGAAATTATGCACTTAAATTTAGGCCAGGGTAGAAGTTAGAACCTTGGGAATTGACTTTATATTATACTTGTCAGATTTCTGGAGATCATGATATTGCCAAGGATGCTCTTATACAAGTCCTGTCGCGGCTGAGGGCCAACCTTTTTGAAAAGGAGGGTGCTATGCCTGCATTTATGCCTGTTCTCCCTTATATTCCAATGTCAAATGATGGTCCAGAGAGCTTGAATTATGAAAGTAGAGATGCCAAGAACCGTGGCCGTGGCCATTCTTACTCTGGTGGATATGGGGGTGGTTCTGATTTACCCCATGTGGATACCTATGGTGGTTATGGCGGTCATCAGGTAAAATCTGTTGCCTTTATCGTATTATTTGAATTAAAACAAAGAATAAAAGGCCAGCTTGATCTATAAACATTGCTCTTTCGCGTCTAATCGTATATTGTTGTCATTAGCAGAGTGGTGGTGGCAGCCCACCTTATGGTGCTTATGGGAGTTATTCATCTGGTCGTTCTGTTGATTCTAGGTAAAGGATAGTTAGGTTGACCTTAATACATGACTCAGTTGACTGTGCTTCCATTCTTCCATTTAGAGTGCTTGATAGGATTTCTTTTCCTCACTGAGGAAGTTGACTTATCCAAGCTGATCATGTTACAATGTAATAGTCCCTGATGGTCAGCTTCGTTTACCAGGTTATCTGGGCGTCCTGTTTCACGTGGGAGGAACTATGACTACTAGAGGAGGTTATTTAAATTACAGGTAGACAAGATGTCACTTTTTTCTACATGATTTTTTGTCATTTCAATCCATGCTTTCCGAGAAGTTCCTGCCAGCTCATACAAAATTCTGACAATTTTGCTGTGATTACCGTACCTATGTCCCGATATGACTGATATTATCTTTACCTATGTTTCCTTTCCCTTCCCAACATAACAGCTGAGATATCTGAAGCCTGAAGTCATCCCCTCGCCTATTTTGATGAAGCCACCTGCCTAAACCAGAAGACAGATGATACAAGGTTTCGGATATACTGATGGCCCCACCTTCAATAATGCCATGTCCTGATACCATATATACCAAGCTTAAACTGTAGTGCTCCCAAGAACCTGCTGCCTTTTGTCCATTTTACTACTCCAACCGATGTATCAGATTTGACTAAATTACCATCTCAGCTGTATACTTAAGTTAATATGTCCTTTTTGTTTGTACGGAGTCAGTCACTATTGCTTATTATGGATGCGTGTCTCGTTTTAATTTATTTTTATATGGTGCTTGAACAATGCTTTTAGTTATTACATTGAACATTTGAGCATTTTATTTAGTCCTCCGATTTTTCGTTTCTTGGATTATTTTGCTTGAATATATTTATATGATTTAGCATCTCGATTTATTTTCTCTGTGATCACACATCAACGTATCTTTATGATAATGCTGATTTGATCAATATTATTTTCGAGATGTTAATTCCAGAAGAATGAATTATGCTTTGGGCTGAGGATCTGAGTTATAATGGCCGATGCGAACAGATTGGGTTGGTCGGCACCTGCTCGCGTTGGATACATTTTTCTGGTAATATTTTTACTGTTTTTAAGAATTAACAAAGACGTAATCGTCATTGGAGTTTGTGCTCAGTTGGACCAAACTCTGTGCAACTGACCTTGGATCTGTTGGGAGGTTATGTCGTTCTATTTGTATATCAATATCTTGAGCCGTCAATACATAACCTTAGTCTGATTTGCTCCTGATTACCTAACATCTATGCTTGCTTCTTAGGTTTTAACGGATTGGGGCCTGGCTGTGTTGGAGATTAGGTAATTTTGCGTTGAACTCCATCACTTTTGTGTCTTAAATTCGCAATTAATTTTTTTGAGGTTACGGTACCTGCTATATAATGGTTCAAAATCCGTAACAGTATTTCGCCATCATTAGATCTGCATTATGGATATGCTGGTTTTTTTGTTATTGTTGTTTATACGCCCATATTCTTTTTTCGTCTGCCGGGCTGAGTGTCCGATTCGTTCTTGCATTCTTTCACGTCTCCAGTTTGCATACATGCATGTGGTCTCTTACGAGACTGTACTTTTGAAGCTGAAGAGTATTTTCACGAATGCTCTATGTTCATATATTGTAATGCTTTTTTCTTTTCTTTTCTTTGGAGCCTAATTTTATATTGATTTGCATCTTAGAGGGAAATAAGCAAATAATTCGACTCGAATATAGAGAATTTGAAACTAAGAGGATATTTGATATTCTTTCGTGCAATGTGTGGCTTTTGCATTTGATTTCATATTATTGATCCAAAATCAAAATTTTTTTTTTAATATCCATGGTGTAATAACTGGTAGTTATATTTTCTATCTAACATTTATTATTAAGTTTGATTTGTGCTTCATGTCTATATATTAAGGTCACTTTGATGAAGTCATAGGTGTAATAGTAGTTGCTTTTTGACCATTAAAAATTGTTTGAATAATGTGGTAGGAGTGGTAGCTAGGTTTAAATGTATATTAAACTTCTCTGCAGGTGATATTTCTAATTGTAATTATTGAAATAATTTGAAAATCTAACTTAAAAGTTGGTTTGGTGTTCAGCAATTTTGTATATCCTATAGGGTTTTGTTTGATTTGTAAGATAAACAAATAATGGTTAATAAATCTTACCTAGTGTTTGATTAATGTAATCATGAAAGAAAGCCTCAAACCTTATTGCAAGATTTTACATTGCAATAAGGTATTTCTAAATACGAAATATTTAAATGTGCAACTCCAATTTCTGAATACGACAAAAGAAAAGAGTTGTTGTGCATATGACCAAGTTTTTAATGACTAGTGCACAGGGAATTTCTGTTTGACTGGCTGTAGTTCCGTCGGTCCATCCATCCGCATTATTTATGGGGTTTTTAGATAAAATCCCTCAAACATTAATTAATATGGAGTGGTTCATCTCCAATTTTACTTTTTCGACCAAAGTGTAGTAGTGTTTATTTTTTTTATTCCAATTATACCCTTTTCGACCCACCTACTTTCCCGATCGTACTTATCATATTTAACAAAATTCAAATATCAAATCCTAACCATTTCTCTCTATATCGGCAACAAATCGACTGTGAATCGTCGTTGTCGCCTCTGTAATAGTCGTCTTCTCCAGTCACTATTGTTCTTCCTACGAGTCTATGACGTAGCAGTAACCGAATTAGGACTCTGTCATCTTTTTGTCTCGAAAACGACATCTTCGCCTGCAAAATTGTTGACCGAATTAGTGCACGACCTCCATACGCCGCCTAGTTTCTTATGCTACATCCCAGAACAAACCGACATCAACCCCAAATTTTTCTTTCACCTGTTTTTAATGGAAGACCACAGTTAATCTCATCAAGGTTATTATTGTAATTGTAGCTAGAGTATAATCTAGGGGAGTTCTCTCAAACTAAAAAAAAAAAAAGGAGTTCTCTCTTACATGAATTTGCCAATGAGGGCTCTTGCTAATTTTCCCATTATCTATTGTATTATTGAGCAGCCTATGTAGTTTGTATGTAAGAAAAGTCAGATGACTAAAAGTGAGGAAAAAAAAACTGCATTGTCCAAATGGATTGAATTCCTCCCACCTAACTTCCATGTACCTGCCTGAATCCCCAAAGTACAATAGAAAACAAGACTCCAAAATCGAAAATCGGGCAAGTATTTATTGCTCTTTGGGCTCAATTTTCTCCACTGGAAATACATGCCTGCATTCTCATATTTAATACTATCAACTCACTTCAAATTACCTTCTTTTTTTTTTTATTAATAATAATAAAAAAAACAATGAAATCATATCTGTTACAGTATTATTGGGCATTGCCCAGTTTGGAGTGTTGAAAAGCAAACTTTCTGTTGAAAAAAGCCTGGCTTGCATTTATGAATAAATTTCACTCTCTCTTTTTTTTTTTTTTTTTTTTTCACCTGTCTATTAATTAAAGAAAGGAGAAGAAGAGTTCACACTCTCCCTCCCATAGCTCCATTAATTTGTTTAATAATGCACCTGTCGAAATTGAACTTCTTTCATCCAATTGGATTTCTTCTCCCCTTCTCTCTACTGTATAGCCTTCCCCTTTTGTGACAAATGCTTTGGTTTTCTTTGCTTCTCTTCTGTTAGAGAATGTTGTGTTTCTCTTTTTGGGATTATTATTTCATCTTAATTCTTGCATGAGGCAATTAGGTTTTTATTATTATAATAATATATATAGCCAAGGATGACTTGCCGGTGAAAAAGAACGCGTCCATCTGCCTATTATTATTACCGACGTCGTTCTTTCTTTTATTCTTTTGACCGGCGAGTAATTTTTGGCTATATGTTCGCCTGGCTTGTCTCATGTTAGATTTTCGATGATTTACGATCGGAACCGCTTTCGGAGATCGATTATGTGAAATGTTATTATTAATTAGTTAATGAATATATACTTAAAAATGTTGATTTTATGCATCACAAAGTTTGTTTCTTCTTTGCAGATGTAGGAGTCCAATGGTTTGTGAAGATCATGCATCCAGAAAGAAAACAATGCATAAGATGAGTATTCATTCTTTTTTCATTTTTATTTTTCATTAACTAATTTAATTAAACTTAATTACTGCTAAGTGCCGACATAGTTAGTGGAAATCACCACTAATAAGATTATATTAAAGTCCACCACTGACCTACTTTTCCTTATAAGTGATTTGAATTTACTCAAAAAAAAAAAAAAAAATTAAGATTACATTATACAAAGTCAACGTTAGTGTACGAATAGAGGACACGTGGATGTATGAGATTTGAGAAGATTCATACATGTTAGATATTTAATATTTTATCAAAGTTAATACTATAATATATAGTTAGGCCACTACCACATAACGTGGATCAAGTATCAACCTTTTATGGTTTTGACTTTTCGTGTGCCGTTGAGGTAAAGTTTATTTACAAAAAAACCTCTTATTTTTCTAGAATTATTTCAACCCCTCAACTTGTAGATTTGTTACATTAACAATCTTTTGTAGAGCGCTGACTGTAAGAAATTTACAAACTGCAGGGACTTGACGTAATGTCTCGAAAAGAAGAGCCTCGGGGAAATAGTTGTAATTTACTCTTAGATTTATATTTATAAGAAATATCTCCATTTGTAGTTTTTGATGATCAAAGGTTTGTTTATATGAAACTTTATGTAAACATAAAAAAAAAAAAAAAAACAAAAGGACCATTTTCTTATTAGAGGGAGTTACATTTGATTACCTCTCTTCTTTAAACTTTGAAACTAAATGGGATTAACTTTTAAAACAATTATAATCATATGGATATTAGAATCCAAATATCATAATTAATTAAAAAGAGAAAAAAGAAAAAAAGAGCATAGATTAATGCCTAATCTTGAATTTGCAATCAAATAAACCAACATAATTGGTTGACACATAAAACCAAAATAAAAGGGAATTACAAGTAGATTAAGTCATGAGATCAAATGAAAATTACAACAAACTCCCTCCTAGGGGGATTCAGAAATAAATATAGGAAGAAAATTAAACAGAGAGAAATAAAAAAAAGCTGGAAAAAAATTAAATAGAGATAAGACCTTCCCTAACAAGAAGGCCAAAGAGGAGGACGAACAAACCAACAGAGATGCACTGTGTTGAAGACATGTATGTCTGTGAATATGCTGATAGCGTTATTACCGCACCCACTAATCCTATCACAAACGAGCTTTTGTTCTGATCCATCTTCTTCTTCTTCTTCTTCTTCTTCTTTTTCTAGAGAGAGAAAGAGAGAGAGAGAGAGAGAGAGAAATAAATTGGACGGAATCTTTAATTTGTGGGAGATGAGAAGGTTGTTGAGAACACAGTGCCATTTGTCTGAAAAGTCAACTCTTGTCTGAAAGTACCGTTTTCTCCTTGTTGCGTTGACTTTTTTTTATTATTTTTTTTCTGTAAAATGAAAATCATAATTGGGCTTTAGATTATCAGATAATTGAGTGTGTGTGTGTGTGTGGATAAATGGGCCTTAAATTCAGAAAGGCCCACTGCAATAGTCCAGTTTCTACTAGTGTGTTTTGTTATTAGAATTAGAGGTGGGTCCCACACACTAATTATTATTTTTTTTTTCATTTAATTAATCTCGTATCATGGATTCAGTACAGTTACAGACTGTGTTGTCCACGTGGCACCTCATACATACTATGTAGTATTTATTAGTTTCAGACACTAATTCACAGATACGTACATAAATATATATATATAAGTGTATTAGGTTATATATATAGCGCGTGCGTACAAACCACATTATCAGGATCAAAACCCAACCACCCTATCATTCCATATTTGAATTGCTCTCAAGCTTTCCCTTTTCTGGAAATTAATAATAAATAAATCATTTCTCATCATAGAGCAAGTATACAGCAGGTAGAATTCAATTAATTAATTAACTAATTAATTAATTAATTATGCTAATAATGTACTAACCACATGACATCATGCACAATATTCCACACCTACTGTGCATTCATAACCCATATAAATACACACACCAATCTCATCCTACATATTCATATCCAACACTAATTCTTGATACACATACATAATTCCCATTTTGTTTTTTTAATATATATAATCTTGAAAATTTTGTATAATTTAATATAATTATAAAATGGCTGGCATTATTCAACTCGGCGAAAAGAATCCAAAGGCTGGAGTGAACCGTGGAGTAGCGGTGGTCGATTTCTTTCTAAGAATCGTTGCGATTATTGCTACCTTAGCAAGTGCTATTTCTATGGGTACAACCGACGAATCTCTACCCTTTTTCACTCAGTTCATCAGGTTTCGAGCCAAGTACAACGATCTCCCAACTTTCACGTAAGTCCATGCAAACCAACACTACATATATATATATATATATATAACATATACAATATGTATACATTTCATTAATGTATATATATACATACGAAACATGTGCAGGTTTTTCGTAGTGGCGAATTCAATAGTAAGCGCGTACCTAGTACTTTCTCTAGCACTGTCCATCTCCCACATCATAAGAAGTGGCTCGCGTAACAGTAGAGTCGTCTTGATTATTTTCGACACGGTAATAACTAATATATATATATACACACATGTATCGATTTTTTATTTTATTTTTTGTCAATTAATTTGATGTTTATATATGTATTATATTTTTGTGTGGGCGAAGGCAATGCTGGCGCTATTGACATCTGGCGCATCAGCAGCAGCAGCGATAGTGTACTTGGCGCACAAGGGGAACACGAAGACCAACTGGTTTGCGATTTGCCAACAGTACAATTCCTTCTGCGAACGAACTTCCGGTTCTTTGATCGGTTCTTTTGGAGCGATGGTCGTTTTCATACTACTCATACTCATGTCAGCTGTTTCTCTGTCAAGGCGACATTGATTTCAAATTATTGTATATATATATGTGTTTTTTTCCATGTGTCTGGGTTTTTTGTTTTTTTTTTTTTTTATGTGTGTGTGTTTGTGAGAATTTGTGTCTGATAATTGTGATTAGTGTGATATATATATTATAGTAAGTGTTTCTTTTCATGTTGTAATTGTAATGGATTTCGATTCTGTTCATATCGTTGTCTAGAAATTCTTTCAAGTTTTCTGTAATTTTTTCTTGTTAAGGGATTAATATATTTGATTGCTGTATATCTATTGTTATTTATTTATTTATTTTTTCTTTGGTACTGCAGTGCTTAGTCTGGTTTTAAATTCTTAATTTCAAGTCCAATACTATGTGGGCTAATACTAGGGGTGTAAATCAGACGAATCGGGTCGTAATTAGACCTTTCGGAAAAAAAAAATCGATTTTTTTCGAGAGTGAAGAACTATTTCCAAGTTTTTTTCCGAAAAAACAGAAAAAATCGGAAATTTGAACGAAAAAAATCTTGTTCCAAAATCAAATTTTTTTGATTGGAATCGGCGGAATACGAAAATATTCAATTTTTTGTCACCTAAAATATAGAATACATAATAATATTGGTTTAAAGTGTAATATTCAGGAAAAAAAATCAAAATTTTTGGAACTTAAATCGGATTGGAAATTGGAATATCATATATATATATATATATTCCAATTTCGATCCAAATAATTTCGGAAAAATTGGAAATCGAATTAAAAGATATTGTTCCAAAATTGGAAAATTTTGGATCGTAATCGACGGAAATAGAAAATTCCGCTCCAATTCCACCTGTACCTAATTCATAACACCCTTGCACATAGCTCCTAGGCATCCACAGAAGTCAACCATAACGAAGCGCTAAATGACGACTTTTTTGACCTTTCCCTCGTTGACCTCAAACTGATTAACTAATTCACCAAATAAGATAGCTACTGAAAAATTAATATTTTTATGAATTAGGTAAAATATCAGTGTTTCGACTTCCGGCACATTTCCAATTAATAATAATTATAATTAATCACCAATTTATTATAATAAATAGTTCTAGTATACCAAACAATTTTCAAAAATAACAAGGGGATTTTTCCAAGTCCAAGTTTGCCTAAGAAACTACTCAATTCTTTTTCTATACCAAACAATTTTCATTTGACTGATTTTCCTTAGTGGAAACTTGCACAAAATATCTAATCTAAAACCTTAAAAACATGTATAAATTAACCTTAAATCTCTCCCAATCCCAACACATTCAACTCGTAAAAACAAGCGTATTAACCGAAAAACAAGTGTATTCATTTATTTTTTTCCGAAAGAAAATGACGAAAAAAAAAATCGTACCACAAGAATCGGCAGTTGAAGTGTCTGAAGAAGATGCTCCTCCAAAGACCGCTCCCAGTAAAGGACTATCGATAGTCGATTTTGTAATGAGAATCGTTGCTGCTATTGCTACCTTAGGAAGCACCATTGCAGTCGGTACAACCAATCAAACGCTTCCTATGTTCACCCAATTTATCCGTTTCAAGGCTCGTTACCAAGATCTTCCTACTTTCACGTAAGTCCAAAAAAAAAAAAAAAAACCCGTTAATTTTGTAGTACCTATATATAGAAGTCGTGTGACGATTGACGAACATAACTGTAATAAATTTTGATGTTATAACAGGTTCTTTGTGGTTACAAATGGAATAGCAACTGTGTACCTGGTTCTTTCGCTTGTGCTGTCAATACTCCACATCTTCATGACCGGTGCAAAAGTGACGAGGACTGTCTTGATCATACTCGACATGGTAATAATTACAAACTAAACGTGTTTAGACCGTTAAATTTTTAGAGGGTTATCCTAAAAAAAATCATTATTAATCGAAATGTGTTTGAATTTGTGAAGATAATTCTGGCTCTTTTGACTGCCGGTGCTTCTTCTGCTGCTGCGATTGTGCACTTAGCACACACGGGCAACGTTGAAGCAAACTGGTCTGCTATTTGTCAACAGTACAACTCCTTTTGCGAGCGAGTTTCCGGTTCTTTGGTTGGATCTTTCTTAGGAATTCTTGTCCTCATGCTCTTGATTATCTTGTCTGCTATCGCCCTGTCAAGAAAGTGACGTGGCGGCAAGGAAAAAAGTTCTACCCACGAGGAGCAGTGATTCAAGTTCCCGTTATATTCGTTTGTATCTACAAATTAATATGTGATTAGATGTGAGTTAGCTCATGTTAATTTCAAGTTCTTTATAATGTTTAATTACTTCATAATGCTTCAATACTAAATGTTCATGGTTGAGTACGTAACAAATACACGTATTATATAACTATACAAGTAGCTTAACTGAGTAAACAGCACGGATATTTCGAAAAATTGGAATCAAGGCATGGAGCTATATCGATCAAACAAAATGAACTGCTAAGTCATATGTAATGTAACATAATTTATAACATGTATAATTAATTAGGATCAAGAATAACAAAATCTCACTTTCGAAAAACTAACATGCGCTTTTTCTTGCATTTGCACGATGATCCGAACCAAGCAAAAATCCGAGAAATTCATTCTTCTCTTCATCAACCAAACTGAACCCGCGTTCCTTTTTCACACCAGTTTCATCCATCAATTTCCTCACGTTTTCAACTCCACTCCACTCGCCATTTGAAGCGTATATATTCGACAATAAAACATAGTCACCACTTTCATCCCGCCTCAATTTCAGCAGCTTCTCATTAGCAAGTCTCCCCAGTTCTACATTACAATGAATTCGACAAGCTCCAAGCAATGTTCTCCATATGATAGCATTCGGCTCGAACTCCATCATGTCGATAAACTCAAATGCTTCGTTTAACAAACCCGCCCGCCCAACCAAATCTACCATACATCCATAATGCTTCACATTTGGCTGAATATTGTACGCATTTTTCATCAAGTTAAAATAAGCACGGCCCTCGTTGACTTTCCCTGCATGACTACATGCAATCAATACCCCAACAAAAGTTATCTCGTTCGGCCTAAACTTCTTCTTCCTCATATCTTCAAAAACCGAAATGGACTCGTTCATGTAACCACTAAAAGCTAATCCAACAATTATGGAATTCCATGAAGTTGCATCCTTTTCTCTCATGCAACGAAACACATCAAGCGCCTTCTCAATGTTTCCGCATTTAGCATACATGTCGATAAGTGCATTACCGAGAAAAATTCCCAAAACACCCTCCCCCATCTTTCGAATGGAGAAGTGAATCTTCTCTCCAATATCTAAAGATCCTAAATTTGCACATGCCGACAAAAGGCTCAACATTGTCACTTCATCGGGACACTCCCCTGCAGTACTCATCTCCTCGTACATCTCCAACGCCTTTCTATGCTCTCCGCTAAGTACGTAGCCTGAAATCATTGCATTCCAAGTCACAACATCTCTTTTAGGAACTAAATCAAACAACTCCCTCGCGCACTCCATCTCCAACTGCTTTACGTAACCCGTGATCATAACATTCCACGAGACCAAATCCTTCACCGGCATTTCATCAAACAGCCACCTGGCCATTTCCAAATTCCCCCTCCTTGCATATCCTGCAGTCAGAGCAGACCAAGCCACAACATCTCTTCTCGCGGACGCATCAAATAGCAAACTCGCTACTCCGATTTCTCCACAGTTCGCATGGAAGTATATAAGCGCATTCCTCGCAAACTTATTACACTCAAACCCGTGTCTCGTCACTTTCCCATGAATCGCGCATCCCATATTAACCCATGAAAGCCTCGTACACGCCTTTAGTACGAACGGAAAAGTGTAGTGATCGGGTTGAACGAAAAGCTTTTCCATCCGAGAGTAGAGCGAAACGGTCAAATGGGGTCTGCAGCTCTGAGCTGAGCCTCTCATCATGGTGTTCCACATGAAGAGGTCCGGTTCGGAGATTCTGTCGAACAGTTGGTGGGCATAGTCGATGTTGTTGTGGATGGCAATTGCGGCGGCGTAGATGAGTTCTTTGAGAGCGGAACGATCGGAGTTGAAGCTTTCGACGATCATGCGAGCATGAATTTGCTTCAACGTTCGGAGATTCTTGCAATTTCGCCATAGGTACGAGGTCTGATGGCAGATCGAGCTCTTTGTTGCGGCTGTTTTTCTGATCATTTATTTACATGGGCTATGCAGGTGCTCTTCTCTCTAACGTTTGATTCTCTTTTCTTCTTTTTGGGCCAAATTTTATTTCTTTCTATTCATAGTGGGCCAAGTTTATGTAACCCAAACCAAATTGTTAATATAAATAAAATAATTTATTATTTGTTTATATTTTTTTTTTGAAAGTTATTATTTGACAATTGTAAATATAATATTTAAAAAAGATATATATATAGTAAATAAATAGAGTGTTGCACTGTAATCATAATACACGGTTTACATTCATTAGGAGGCCTAATTATCACTGTGTAACGCCTAATCAATCTAATTAGTGCACTTGTTCTAACTAATCACATTTATTTTATAATTTGCAGCAAAAAGCTGAGACAACTTAGTAAGGCGCCGTCTTTGTCTGCATGTGTTCCCTTTCAATTCAATTCTGCACGTGTTTAATTAATTTTGAAATATCTCTTGTTCTAATCATTTTAGTTATGTTCACTGAATCATGAACAAATTGGTCGGCATTTAACCTCCTAGTTTATATTGTTAAAAAAATCTTATCGGATGTTTATAAGTTCTTTCAAATAAAAAAGAAAATTACAAATTTTAAAAATAAGTCGTTTAAGAGCAAATAAGATATTCTTAAAAATATACATTCATCTACTTTTCAATTTAATATCTTATAATAAATGAAAACAGTTTATAAAATCATTATACAAACACTTCAAATATTTTAAACATTAAAATAAGTCCTAATAGCTTATTAAATCTTTTATACAACTTATTTTTTGAATTAGTTATGTTTCACATCAAATTGACTATGTTCACGCGACCTTGGATTATATTACTATCGTTTCCATACAAACTTATTAAAATTCAACAAAATAGACTAAACATAAATATAGAGAGCTAGGCAATTAATTTATTACATTATGAAAAAGGAAAAAAACGTTAACCTAACTTGTCATTTAATTTATCAACTTTGCAATCAAACTAGGGGAAATATGCAATACCCCCCTCATTTGGAAAATATTTTGAATTAAACTCAATTGACTTTAAAGACTTTTCCCATAACCCAAATCCCAATTTAAATTAGTGAGACCCCCCTTACCAGATATGATAAGACTAAAGTGCCCCTATGTGTTAGGATTTTAATTGTATTTCTCGTTCTTTTATCACTCTCTCACACGCATTCTCTCTCTATATCTCTCTCTCTCACACGTTCACTCTCCCTCTGTTCTTTTCTTCTTCTTTTTTTTTTTTTTTTTTCTTTGCAGATCTGTAACGCTATCCTTCGAGATTTACACGAAGGCCACCGTTCTCCTTCGAGATTTACACCAGGCTGTCGTTCTCCATCGAAATCTACACCAGGGCCGCCGTTCTCCTTCGAGATTTACACCAGGGCCGCCGTTCTCCTTCGAGATTTACACCAGCGCCGCCACCCTCCTCCCTTTTTTTCACACCACCGCCATTATCGACTCAACCCACCACCGATCACAACCGTCGCCTAGGGTTCTGCCGTCAAACCTCCCAACAAATCACTTTATCATATATCTATAGATATGTGGGTCTGTGTGTGTGTTTTGTATTTGTGTGTGAAATATTCTCTCTCTCACTACCTCTCTTTCTTTCTTGTGTTTTTTTTCCTTTAGATCCGTCTCTTGTGATTTCGTATGTGGGTCTTTAGATTTGTCTTGTGATTTTTTTTCTTTGTATATTTCCCTTGTGATTTTTAGATCCTTGGATCTCTTGTGATTTTGTATGTGGGTCTGTGGGTGAAATGTATGTGTGTGTGTGTGTGTGTGTATGTGTGTGTGTGTTTTGTATATGTGTGCGTTGTGTGTGTGTGTTTTATGTCTGTATTTTTTTAATTTTTTTTCAGATCTGAAAATATAGTTTCAGATTTGAACAACAACAGTAATATGACTATAGTCATATTCGAATATGACTATTGTTGAATATGACTGTAGTCATATTCTAATATGTTCTATTTTATCGTTTCATGTTGACTTGTAATAACAAGATTCAAATTGTGATTTTGTGTGTGGATGTTGATTGGATTGTTTTCGTAAATAATAGACAATCTTTGTTGTCGTCTTTTTTTTTTTCTAGATAAAACAACAGTAGTAACATGACTTTAACATGACTATAGTCATATTCGAATATATGACTATTGTGAATATAACTACATCTATCTAAACTTTTCATGTTGACTTGTAATAATAAGATTCAAATTGTGATATTTTGTGTGGATGTTGATTGAATTGTACTACATACATAATCGGAATTTTTTAAATGAAAAATGTAAAAACCTGCAAGATAAAGAAAGAATATGACTACAACTTATATAGTCACATATATATTCAACTATAGTTATATTCGAATTAGTAAACTTGTGGAGAGAAAAAATAAATCAATTTTTTGTTTAAAAAAATATTTTTATTAAAAAGAAATGCTAAATAATATTCGAAATAATAAAAAATAAAAAATAAAAAAATTCATTTGTTTTATTAGGTTACAGATTTTCAGCAATTAGGAAAAAAAAACAAAAAAAAAAAAAAGGAAAAGAAATAATTGGGACAAAATGTGCTAATTGATATAAGGGTAGTATTGGGAATAAAATTTCTAGGGGTTATCACAAAGAAAGATTTAAGGGCTGGATATATCACAATTTATTAGCGATATGAGGGGCTTATCACTAATGACCCCATCAAACTAATACAATTATGTGTGACCTTTTGACTATAATTTTAAAGGTGCCACGTGGATGTTCCCTGTCTTGGATTCATGTTCAATCTTATCCAACATTGAAAAATGTGAGAGAAATTTTAAAATAGGGAGTAGTAGTCATTAGTCATTACTACTATATTGTTAAGGAAAAGTTTGGCCGGTTTTACCTTAATCACTTGTTAACCAATCATTGATTAGACCGTGTTAGTATTAAATAATTAGCTGATTATCTTTAGAGCGGCGGGTCTTTCATTTTTCTAGGGTCCGCCGTGGATTCCACGTGGCCAGCTTATGTACAAATAGCTTTTCTTTTATTTTATTTTTTTAATTAATTTGTTATCTTGATGCTTGAATTTTATCAAAAAGAAAATGAATTAGTTAAACATTTAACTAATGCCTCCATTGAAGGAGGATTTTTTAACTTTGGAGAATCAAAGTGGTAGTTTTTTTGTTTGATACTTTATTTAGTTCCTCGATTGAAGTTGCTGTAAGTTCTCCATTCAATTTTTAAGATAGCACACAATTTTATAATAACCTAATTGGAAAATTAATGGATGTTTATATATACAAACTGACACACGCATATATTGGTGTACTTTATAATTTTAATTTAGTGACGAAGATTTAGATAAAATATTTTTATGAAGATAGTAATTAACACGTTTTGTCCAGGGAATAGATCATATATTTTACCCAATCAATGAAAGATTCCTTCATGCAATAATATATTCGAATTTAATAAATCAACTAATAATATTTAAAAGTTGATCACACAGCGTATTGAGAAAAGCAAAGAAGCGTAGTTTAGTGATTCTTAATCTTAAACTACAAAGTACAGTCAGCTCCTTGTCATCAATTAGTAAACACCGGGTACAAACAACTAATGGCTCGGGTAATACCCACCCAAATCTGGCGGGTCGGGTCGGGTCGAGTGAAAATCGTCACCGTAAATTAAATTAATTGGATATACATAATACAACAAATTATTTACTTCTTGTCTTATAACCAAATTTTTTTTACATGTGCAGAAGATTCACTGAATAGGGTCGGTCAAACCATTACAATCAATTATTTGCATCGGTTGGAAAAGTTATCCAGATTGCAAAGATAAAAATTAAAAAAGTACATGCATAATAATTGCTTCATTTTAGTCTAATAAAATAATAAAATAATAAATAAGTAAGAGAATTGCGTCATAAATAGGAGCCAAAATCACGAGAGTTATGCACTAAACAAATCCCGTAACGGAAATAGCTTTTTGTGGTCCTTATAAGTTGGAAAAAAAACCTGGACACTTGCCAATTAATATAAATAAATAAATACATAAATAATATTAGTTTCGTCATATGTTTTTTGTGTCTTTTTCTGAATTATTATTCCCCCTTCCACTCTATGACAACTTGGATTTTGTAATAGTTAGTTAGATGACTTTGGTTAAACAGATTGCAACCAACCCAACCCGACTATTTCTTCTTCTTTTTTTAATTTTTATTTTTGTCAAAATAAAATTAATTTAATCTATTAGTTAGTTATTTATGAAATAAATGTAAAAGAAAACATAGATAAGGTCAAAAAAGGATGATTCACACTAAAAAAACAGAAGAAAAAGCTAAAAAGAGAGGAGCAGAACAGAATGTAGAAACTGCCTAAGCCAAAGTTTCATTACATCCCACGTTTATTATATTTTCCTAAAAAACAACTAACTATTCATGCATCTATCTCTCTTCCTCGGACCACTTTTTCTTCTTACCCAATCTTTCTTTCTTTCTTTCTGTTAACACACACACACACACACACACACACACACATCTCTCTCTCTCTCTCTATGTGGCACATGCACACAACGCGTAACGAATCAAGATTTTTTTGTATAAATGGATACTTAATTTCCATCTTCATATTCTTGCATTTCCCTTTTACTTCAGCTAATAGTTTTTAAAGGGTTTTTTGAGTTTAGGATTTTGGCATTTTTTATCACGTACAAAAAGTGGTATAGCCAAAATTATATAATAGAGTGTTCGCATATAAGAAAAAAAACCAAGAATGGAAAAATTCTCTGGTTGTAACAAAAACGAAGAGCAAATCGAGTTGCCACCCGGTTTTCGATTCCACCCGACAGACGAAGAGCTGATAACTCATTACTTATCTCCCAAAGTAATCGACGGCAACTACATCACCAAAGCTATAGGAGATGTTGACCTCAACAAAGTCGAACCTTGGGATTTGCCTTGTAAGTTTACTCACAATTCTTTCTTTTAGAAAAAAAAAAAAGAACAAACCGTGATTTTTTTATTTTTTCTCATAAGTGTATTGTGTGTTTTTCGATATTAAAGGGAAGGCGAAAATGGGAGAGAAAGAGTGGTATTTTTTCTGCGTGAGAGACCGAAAGTATCCGACCGGTTTGAGGACTAATAGAGCTACCGAAGCTGGATATTGGAAGGCAACCGGAAAAGATAAAGAGATTTTTAGAGGCAAATTCTTGGTCGGGATGAAAAAAACACTTGTTTTCTACAAAGGCAGAGCTCCCAAGGGAGAAAAAACCAATTGGGTTATGCACGAATATCGATTGGAGAGCAAGCATTCCTTGCAAAATCTCCCCAAAACTGCTAATGTATATTCCCCTGTTTTTCCCCTGTTTTTCCCCTGTTTTCCCCTGTTTTTTCCCCTGTTTTTTCCCCTGTTTTTTCCCCTGTATTTTTTTAATTTTCTTGTTTGCTGATCTTTGATTTTTTTTGTTTTTCTTATTAAATTTTCAGAATGAATGGGTGATATGCAGAATATTTAAGAAGAGTAGTGACGGAAAAATAGTGCCGATATCAGGGCTTGCAAGTAGTAGAAACTGCGGGGTCGATTCAGAGGCGGCGTCCTATTTGCCGCAGCTGATGGATTTTTCGTCCGACGAAAATCATATAAGAACTACTACTTGTGCACGTGCTTCCGAGGGATCTCACGTGACCTGCTTCTCCAATCCAATGGAGGAGCCACGAGATATAACACCGTTCGATGATTTCAGTTCTTCGTCTTCTTCGAGAGACTTCCGTTTCTCGCCTTTTCCGTTTGTTCTTCCACATAATTCTGTTTTCGTTGAAAACAAAAGCTTTCCGAATGTGAAGCGAAACGGTGAAGGGGAATTCTCACAGGATATGTGTTCTGCCATGTCGTCGTACAATGAAGTGGGATATTTGCCTTACGAAGATCAAGAATTCCCGATTATTTCGACTGCACAAGTTGACCTCGATTGCTTGTGGAATTACTGAATTTATTAATTATAAAAAGTGTCGAATGTCTTCTTTGGGTAAAGTAGTAAATGCAGATTGCTTGTTTCTGTATAGGTTTTCGATTATGTACTCGTTTACGTATGTCCGATATTTCGACGAAGAACTGTCGAAGTTTGCAATTAAAGATTCTTGCTAAATCTATGGCATCAACTTTTTTAATTTTAATTTGTTAAATATTTAATGTGAGAATTAATATGGGTTATATTTGTATGTTAGGCCATCAACTTTCAGACTGGGGGAATTTAATTAAATCAAAATCATAAGACTGTTTGTTTTGTTTTTGCTTACGTTGTTTAGTTGAAATATAGGTTTAGTATGGTTACAGCTCAAATTTGTATGATGATATATACATTATGCAATGAATAATAGCCAACCTTTTTCTGTTATGCTGACTTAGGATATTTATTAATCATTCTTTTCTTTCTTGCTTTTTTTTTTTTGCCAAATAATAAACTGCGGATTTATGGGACAATTATGTCATAATACATTCCATCTAGGAGTGCAAATGGCCGGATCGGATCAGAATTAGCTACTTCGAAAAAATAATTATTATTTTTAAAAGTGAAAAACTAATTCCAATTCCGTTCCAGATAAATCGAAAAATAATAATTTGTTTTGAAGACTAAGTATAAAAACTTTATTTATTACAAATTTAAATTTTGTAAATTTGATTTATTTCAACAAACTGTGATGTGGGCCCACAGCCCATACTTTAATGACCCATAAAAGACAAATTCTTGCCCAGCCCAATTCAACCAATAACGACTTTAGCCGCCACTTACCGCCACGTCATTTTTCAGTCCCTTTCGTTTATTTTCAAGTATAATTTATTATTTGGGTAAATTACCACCACCCTGAAGTATGGTCAATTTACGAAAAAAACCCTCTTATTTGGATAATTACATCTACCTCATCAATTATGTTTTTTTCATACATATCCACCCTTATGATGTCAAATTCAACATAATCATCTAGATTTTGTGGAATGTGCTCTAGTTTATTCTCGTTTTGTGTAAAAAGACAGTTTCTGATGCACCACAATCTGATATTTACAAGCCAAAAAACACATATTATGATCATATTGTGTGTGGTTTGATCCGAGATTTTATTTGTACTGATTTGAGCTTGATCTCAATAATAATTTTATTGTATGTATCTGATTTAACAATTTTATTACTCAAATTTAGTTACATATGATTTTCTTTTTATTTATTTCCTTTTTTTTAATATATAATTTCATGCGTTTGAAGTGGGCTTAGTTTGATAATGGGCTTTATACCCTTTTCATAGTGGACCTATACAAACAATGAGCCCAAGGCGGAAGTTTCAATTCAATTTTTTTTCAAGTGATGGAGTATTATTATTATTAATTACACAAGTTTAGAATATTTCAATATTTCGTTGCATTTTCTATGTTTTTCATTACATTAAATTAAAACATTAAACTAGGTGAAAAATACTCTTTTATTACACAAGTATTGTATCTCCATTTGGAGTAAAATTGGTTAGGCGGATGTATCAATGTAAAGATGTAAAGGCAATGTTATACAATATAGAATTGAAGCACTACACATGCAAGAAAACAACGTCTAAAACACTATAATTGCAATTTGGGTCCCCGACTAGGTACCTATTTCATTTAGTGACTAACTAAAAAATAAATATTCAATTTTCAAATTTACCCTTTTAACTAAAAAATAATTAATCACAATGATAATTTTGTAATTTCCTTTTTCTGTTTTTTAACATACGTACATTTATTAATTTTCTTAATATGTGCTCAACAACCAAGAACGACATGTAAAATGAGACCAAATGAGTATTCAAAGTTAATTTCGATTGCAAAATGTACATGCATATTGAATGAAACGTACAAATGTTTTTTTAACGGTTATACTAAGATTACATCGATTTTTTTTTTGTCAAAAATAAAATAATTCATGTAATTTACCATAAAGTACATTATTTATGGGTGGAGTTCGGTTATTTAAGCTCACTCACATGACCTACCTAATTTCCATTAACTTCATTGTACTATGCAAAAAAAAGGTGAAAAATAAATACGTAAGTAATCCCACGTCATATTTAATCTTCTCCCAACTGAATGCTAAATTTAAATAAATTAATTGCGGAAAAAAAGAATTTAATAGCCTTGTCAGAAGAATTTAATAGCTTTGCCTGTTTTATGAGAAGAACTGAATTTATTTATTTATTATATATTAGAGCAATTTTCGGTAACCTCTATAGTAATCTTAAATTACAAAAAAAGTCATTCATGTTTGAATAATTTCAATCACCCCATCAACTTATGTACTGTCTTACGAAAAAAGCTCCTCACGATCAGTAAGTAAATTTGAACCCGTAAGGGTAAATGTGTAAGATAATACATAGTTGAGGTGAGTGGTTGTAATTATCTTAACAATAGAGGTTTTTTTCGAATTTACACTTTTTTATGTCATCAACTATTTTTCCCTTCTTTCTTTCTTGCATGTTTTGTTTCTTTAATAAGTCAGCTAGACAACAAAGAAACGAACGATGTTGAAATGGTTATAACTTAATACAACAAATTTTGAATAAATGTTTAAAGTATATATATAGATATTAGTTTTAAGAAGAAAAAAAAATGATGACGAATATGCACACGTGGATAATAATTTAATAATATTAAATGGGACAAGGGTTTGTGATCGGAGTTATTACAATGTTGGACCATAGGAATAGCTGGTGGTGTGGCAGCGATGACAAAGAATTTAAGGTGGGAGGGCCCATTTGTCCTTTCACATTTAAACTATTTAATTTGGGCTTTTTAAATTTTTATTTGATTAACATTTATTTGTGGGCCAATTTTTTGTCTTCTTCTTTTTTTCTACCAAATCAATCGGAATGCATATCCCTTGGGAGGCCCATTGGCCCACATAATTAAATACCTATTATGCCCTGCCTTGTTGGATTTCCCAAAGTAACCTTGTGTTAGGCATGGACGCTGGAGTTATTTTAATTATTTTTTAAAGTAATTGATATATATTTTAATGCTACTCTATGAAAGGGCTCCATATTGGAAAATTGTTACCCCTAGTCGGTGATATCGGTAATGACTCGAGTGTGGCCGAGTCATGGTCGAAAAATGATGCCAAGCAAGAGTTGGCACAAGACAGCCACACAATCGGCCAATGAGTGGTCGAGTATTGGGCAAGCCTTTGGGGTGTTTGTCCGAGAAAGCAATGAATTGCTTGATTCAAGTGGGAACGGTGATAGAAAGTACTTGTGGCTGGCACGGGCGTTGCTCCGCAGCAAATGCGGACAAGCGTGGGCAGTAATCGGCATGTGGCCGATAACTTGGGCCAACGAACGTTCGAGGGAAATCGACCACGACTTGACAAGTGTGGGCAAGTTGGCACGACCGATTGGCAAGTCAAGGAAGGCAGCCCGATGTGCGGGCGTGCTAATGACCGTGTGGGCAAAGAACTAGCAAGTGTTGGGGCAAGGCAAGCAAAACGTGCGAAAAAGGCAAGCTAGGCAGATGGGCTGCCTAGCAACCGACCGGGTTGTTTTGGGTCGTTTGGTGCGCGCGCACATCCGATCAAGTTGGGCCTCGAAAACCAGCCTTGTGGGCGGTTTTGAGGGAAGTTGCGGAGCGGTTGGGGTCTGGAAAGCACGAAAAACTGCCCGTTATTACTTGAAAACTACCTTCTTCCTTGTATTTAATTGGCTATGAGCGCACAAATCCGACCCATCTAGCATTAAGAGTTCAGATTGCAATTGTGGGCATTATGAGTGAGGATTTTGTGTGTGCACCTTAGTCTTCTTTGTATTCTTTGTGGGAAATTAATATTAAGGTTGGGCATTGCCCGTAAACGTGCTTGTGTGTTTGTTTTCCGCTGCATACTCTTGCTATTGTTTACGTGGCTTAAAAGACTTATATTTGTGTGCGTTTGTGCGAAGAGAATCGAGAGGAAGGCTGACTGATTTGGTGGGCAAATCAGGCCGCACGGGCGAAAATTTCTTGAGTAAAGAAACCCTTGTGACAAAAATATATATGGGGTTTCTTTTAATTTTATATATATATTATTTTTTTCCTAATTTTTTTTACTTATTTAGATCGTCGGATATAGGATTTGACAGTTTAAATAGAAGATATAATTATATTATTAATTATAATTCAATAATTAAATTAGAACTCACGCCAAACATTGTAAGGAAACGAACATTTATCTACAGAAGAATCTCAATAAATTAATAACATCGTTTAAATAATAAATTTTCTCGGTCTCGACTCGATAAAAACGTATTAAATTATTAGTTCAATAATTTAATATTTCGCTAAATGAATATAATTTTATTGATCCTTACTGTATTAATTTAAAGAGGTTTAACTGAATCACCACCAAATCCAAATCTTTATGCACATAGGGAATTGAATTAATTATTTAACGAGATGTTTTATTTTAATCTAATTAGTTACATGTGTGCGCAAATTCCTTCGTCTAAAAAAAATAAATTACTACTACAAATTGAACCCATGCTGAATTTGAAATTAAGTCATTCAATTCAATACATATTTTTCAAAACCTACACAATATAGCATCGAACTCAATAATTTCAACACTATTATTTCCATTATCCTAATCTAAAATCAGAAATAAAATCTTAGAACAGATAAAATGTACGTACAGTCCAGAGTTAAAATTGTATACATAGACATGCATACACCTTAATTAATTATATAATTTGGGTTGGGGTTATTGCGTTGACCACCAAGTTGACCGGCCGACAGTGTACGATTTATCATCTTTGTTTTAAATGCAAAGCCGTATGTATATTAACTGTATATATAAATTAACTATATAAGAAGTACTGTATGTGTTCATCTCCTCTCTCAATTATTTGTTCATTATTAATTATTAACTGTATGTAAGAAAAACGAATGGCTTTTACAGGTAAGAACTACTGTCATCTCCTCTCTCAATTATTTGTTCATTATTAATTCAATACTATTAACTCATAAATAAATATTGGCTCTTGTTTTTTTTTTTTTATGACGGATTTGTATTTACTATTGTTAGGTCAATTAATTATTGTTACTGCATTGACTTTATTACTGCACAGTGCACACAAATTCAATTTTAGTGTGTATAATTGGATGTTGGATGCAAATTTTATCAACATTGCAACAATACAGCAGAACATCTATAAATTAATGCAGTGTGACCAACCAAATTCTATTAATTTAGCAAAATATTTTTAAAAATATTATTTAAACGAGATTATTAATTTATGAAGTGTTTATTGTATTAATTGATCTATTCAGTTTTAGCTTTATTGGCGGGGATCGAGAAGAGTAATTACTCACACCAACAAAAATGTTGAAGTAAAATACAATTAAGATCTATTATCAATGATTGATTAGTAGCTAGGTAATTAATTTTATACATGCATACTGACCTGATTTAAAGGTCTTTTATTAATATTCATTATAAATTGATTGGCTATGATTAGTCATTTAATTGAGTTTACCATCCTAAGCTTATATTCTTTTAAGAGTTGATGTTTAGTTAGTGCATGCATGCATGCATGCATGTTTATTTAATAGTATTAATAATTAAAACTAATTTTAAATTATCATATATCTTCTTCACATTATATTATATATATATATATATATATATATATATATATATATATATATATATATATATATATATATATATATATATATATATATATATATATATATGTATGTAATGTATAATAATAAATGATGTATGGCATGGATGGAATGGAGGGTATTTAAACATTAAGAGGCCGGTGAAAAAGGTGTTCATAAATTATTCCTTAAATTGTTAAGAGCTAGGTAAAGGGCACTTGTTGTCTTTAAAAATAAATAATTTTAATTTGTATCAATATATCCCCATCTTTGTCGCTGACCTTTCTTCTCCACCCGGCCCCCATATCTCTCTCTCTCTCTCTCTCTCTCTAGTCTCTCTCTCTCTCTCTCTCTCTCTCTCTCATTATTAATAATTTACTATCTCTCGCCCTCTCCCTTCAGTCACTCCAAAACAATCAGTATACGTAGTATACTGAGCTAGCTAGTTCTTCTTGTCATATATATTTTGTCGTACGTATACTACGTGTTGGTTTCTGATCTCCGATGGGTCGGTCGCCGTGCTGCGATAAAATAGGGCTGAAGAAAGGGCCATGGACGCCGGAGGAAGATAACAAACTCTTGGCTTATATTGAAGAACACGGCCATGGTAGCTGGCGAGCCTTGCCTTCCAAAGCTGGTCATCTCTCTCTCTCTCTCTCTCTCTCTCTAAAAGTCTCTCTCTCTCTAGTACTAGTCTCTCTCTCTGCTGATTATATTGAGGTGGTTGTGTGTGTGTGAATAATATAATATAATTAGGGCTCCAGAGATGTGGGAAGAGTTGCAGATTGAGGTGGACAAACTATTTGAGGCCAGATATCAAAAGAGGCAAATTCAGTTTACAAGAAGAGCAGACTATCATTCAGCTCCATGCTCTTTTAGGAAACAGGTTTACAACCATTTCTTTTTCTTTTTCACACTCTTAATTATATCATAATACTATATTCACTACATTTATTTTTCCATCTCATCTCTTTTTCCTCCCCATGGTTTTCTTTATTACTTTTTTATCTGTCCACTGTCAGTGTTTTTATACCACTACTCTAGCATTTACTCTAATCACCTGCATTTTCAAGAATTACAACCCAACATATATTCTCAAAAACAATAATATGCCATTTTACTATAATTATATATAGGTATTTTCGTAATTAACAAGGCTTGCTTTTTTTTTAATTATTTATTGTCCTCTTCTTGCAATATACTAATCATTCGCCATTGTCGTTTTTCTGTCTTTTTTTTTATTTTTTATTTAAATTTGTCTTGTGGTTCGTAGGTGGTCAGCCATAGCTACTCATTTACCCAAAAGAACAGACAACGAAATCAAGAATTACTGGAATACCCATCTCAAGAAAAGGTTGGCTAAAATGGGTATTGACCCGGTTACCCACAAGCCCAAAAACGACGCCATTTTGACCACCAACGATGGCGAATCCAAGAATGCTGCTAATCTAAGCCATATGGCTCAGTGGGAGAGCGCTCGGCTCGAAGCCGAAGCCAGATTGGTCCGTCAGTCCAAACTCCGAGCCGGCTCTTCTAATTCCTTTCAGGTATAATTTTTTTTTATTAAATAAATATTAATCTGGTTTTATTTATTTTAATATTGAGCGCGTGGAACAGACGCAAAATACGGAATTCGCCTCTACTTCGGGCCAGGTCCAGAAGCCCGTTGGCCCGGCCCAATGTCTCGACGTGCTGAAGGTGTGGAACGGCGGCGTTTGGCCGGCAGCAAGTGGAGGTGTTTCGGCGGCGGGAGGCGGAGGAGATCTGGGATCTCCGACGTCGACGCTCAGCTCCGCCGCAGGAGTAGGAGAGAGCTCCGCCGCGTTTGCGGAGTTCGTCGGGAACTCGTTCGGGTCGTGCGACGACAGCGGAATGATGAAAGAAGAGAGTGAAGAAGAATGGAAACGCGCGGCGGAGTACAGATCGGATGAGATCGGGAATCCGATTCCGTTCATGCCGGGATTGCAGGAAACGTCGTCGTTCCCGTCGGATTGGGCGGCGTCGGAATCGAATAGACAAAATGCCGAGCACGTGCCCAGTGGGAACTTCGTCGAGAAGTTTACCGACCTTCTCCTAAGTACTTCTTCCGGCGATCGGCGTTTCTCAGATGATGGCGGAGAATCAGACAACGGCAGCGGCGGCGTTGGCGGCGGAAGTGGTGATTACTATGAAGACAACAAAAATTACTGGAATAGTATTCTCAATCTGGTGAATTCTTCACCTTCTGATTCGCCCATATTTTGAGTGACGTCATAATTAAAAAAAATTAAAAAAATAAACATTAGCATGATTGTTTTTTTTTTTTTTTTTTTCATTTTTAATTTATTTTGGGAGTAATTAATTTTCTCGTGTGCATTGTCCATAGAGCATAGCTTCATTTTATTTGTTTCAAATGGAATAAAAATTATTTCAATCCCTCAAAAGAAATTATATAAACTTTAAATTTAAATACATATATTTTTATTTTTTTTATTTTGGCAAATAAAAATAAAAATTAAATAATTAAAACGATCGACAAATAGTGATGGAGTTGATTTATTGCATATAGTTCCATGTCACAATCTAGCTAACAATAAAAGCCCCAACTTTTATACATGTTTTGAAATTCTTGCCATCTACACAATTCATATATACACTCGATTTCAAATTCAAAGATATCCGCATAATCAACCACTTTATACTTTCTCTATTCCATAATATATGTCTCTTTTAAATATATGTCTCTTTTAAGAATTTTTTTGTTCCATATTATCTGTCACTTTACAATTTCAATGCTGCATTAATTGCTTATTTTTCAATTTTATCCTTATCAACTCTACAACACTCTTCATGCATTAATTAATAAACAAGGGTATTTTGGTCCATCAATATATACTTTCCTAAATTCAAGACATATTTATTGAGATTCTTAAGATTTGTGGCAAGGTGAAAAAACGACACCACGTATTTAGGAACGGATGGAGTAATATTATATCACTCACAAAACATTATAAATAAATATATAGGGTCTTAAGATATAAGTCCCTGGTGACAAACCTTATTAGAACTAAATGACAAGTCTAACTAAAATTTGCTTCACATCCTTTATTAAATTTATTCCAAAAATGCCCCTCCACTCACAAATTCGAAATTACACCAAATTGTAAATATACTATAATGAACTATGGTATTATTTAACATTTTTAAGTTTGTATCTAGCATTTTTTTTTCCGTATTTTATCATTATATAAAAACCTATTTTTTCCCCTTCTTTTCTACATATAGTGAAAATTATGATTTTTTTTAATTTTTTCGGTCGTAGACATCTTCAGAAACCCATAGGAAACTGTAGTAATTCGTAGTCACCCATAGACATCTTGAAACCCTAACTCCTCCTACAAACCCTAGCCGCCAGACCCATAGACACCCATAGACATCCAAATCGAATTTTTTAAAAATTTTCCCACCAAACCCTAGATCCGCTCCTCCACCACCACCATCCACCACCACCACCATCACCGAGCGCCGCTATCACGCCATCATTCATGTCCAACACCGTCGTCGCGCCTTCCACCATAGATCTGACCTTAAACCACCATAGCCGTTTATTGCCGCCATCTCCACCGCCATAACCACCGCCCCTCTCAATGGTGGATTGGAGTGGTGGTGAACGAAAGAGACAGAGAGATAGCGTTATCGAAAAATAGAGAGATATAGATTGAGAGAGAGAGAGAGAGAGAAATATACAGAGAAAGATCATTGTTGAGAGAGAGAGAGAGAGAGAGAGAGAGAGAGAGAGATGCGAGAGACAGAGAGGGGGAGACAGGGAGGGAACGAGATTGAGAGAGAGAGAGGAAAAAAAAATATCTGAGAGAAAAGTGACTTTAGAATTTATAAATTTAAGTTGATGGTAAATTATGGATAAAAGAAAAATTGAGGATGTGACTCATATTTATTTTTCTGAAAAGGATTTAGTTCATAGAAAAATATTAAGATTGTATTCCACATGCATCTAATTATGTTTCCAACTAAGAATCTATAGCATATTACCCCTAAATATATATATGTACATAATAATTACATATATTGTATTGGATTTGCTTTATGTGTTTTGATGAAAGTGATTGGTTAATTAAATTGATACTTAATTAGCAATAAACTCAATGGGGTCTGTGCTTTAAATAACCAATAAATTCATAAAATATCAAACATGCTACAAAACAATTTCTCTCTCTATATATATATTGGATTAATATATATATATATATATATATATATATATATATATATATATATATCATAAGCCTTCCCCAACAATTATTATTATTATTAATATAAATGTCTAACATCAAACAGATTCATGTCCGGGTCTATAAACAAAATATCTTATCCTAAAACTGTCTTAATCCTCAATTATATGAAATTCCTAAAAGTGTCTTAATCTTCATTAATATGAAATAACAAGTTTAATTACAAACACATATATATACACGAGATTTTCTTTATTAAGAGGTAAATTACAAAAAAACCCCACCAAGAAGACAAAAAGTGTAAAGCCGTATTCCTCAGGGAACAATATATCAATTATGCAGAGGTCACTGAAAATAAAATGAAACGTGGCCATACCATAAGTCATGAGCACTAGCATTAATATCTTTTTTTTTTTTTTTTATATATATATAATAATAATAATAATTATTATTTAGTTATTAATTTTTGTGGTAAAGAAATAACATGGTGAAACTAAGATTCGCATTTAATATGGATATCTTCTTTTTTTTTTTTTTTTTTCCAGTGTGCATAATACCAGTATTTAATATGACAGAGGCCATTGGTTTATTTATTCACTAATTTATTAAATCGTGTGCAGTAACGAAATCTCCACATTGTAAAGAATACTTTGTCACAATAATAAAAAAATAATAATAATAATAAAAAAGTATATGTAGTTTTGTTAGGCATTAAAAATAACATTTATGAAGGCAGCTGTAATGGAAGTTGACTAGAGAGAAATATCGACCCACATTTTGGTAAGTAAAGATAGATTGCAACATTTTATTACTTTATTAATGTCAGTATATATATGCATATGCATTTACGTTCTTCAATTATTGGATCACATGCCTTTCAATTCTTATTACTGCCCTTCCCCATTTATTTTTTCATTTCACTGGGAGGGGCATTCTTGGTATTTCATATTGTTTTTTTAGTGGATTTTTTTTTTCTCTTTCAAAAACAGCTTTTTTAACCTGTAATAATTATTTAAAACTGAATTATTACAAAATTAGTCTCACCATTGTTGTGGGTAAACAACATAAAACCCCCCTTTGTTAAGGAAAATCTACGCCAAATCTCCCTTTGTTTTTCTTTTTGCGTAAAACTCCCATGTGTATCATTTTACTTAGCACGAAATCCCCTTTTCCGTTAAAAGTTAACACCGTTAACTATATTTTTTTTTTCTCCCTTGTGTTTCATTTTACTTTGCACGAAATCTCATTTTCCGTTAAAAGTTAGGGGTAATATGTTAGACACCCCTTAAATCAAACCTAATTAGATATTGGGGACAACCTCAAATAGAATAGTTTAACTAAATCCTTATTTTTAAATAATATTTGAACCACATCCTTTGATTTTAATTTAACCCGAAAATACCCTTAATATAATTAATAAAAAAATCACATGTATCTTTTTCTCCTCACCCTAATTTCTCCGCCGCCCACCCACCCCTTTTCTCTCAACCGTAACACACACTCTCTCAAAGACAGAAAATAAATATTTTGAGAAACTAGCAAACTTGTGAAATTGCAAAAATTAAAGAAGGATTAAAGATAAGAGATCAGAGGATCTAAAGAGCAGAAGTATAGAAGTTGC